CCCTTTCTCCTCCCTCGCGCTTGCTTATGACTCTTCGCGCGATGGCTGCGGCCAGCACGCCTCACTGCACCGCCACCGTGCCTCCACGAGGCACTCTGGGGAGGTGCGAGCCAGGCTGCCCCTCCCTGTCTACGAACAGGCGCTGGAGCCCGTGAAACCAGCGCGCATCTGGCCTGCCTAGGTGGCCCCGAGTCGGTCATAGCCGCTGCAGGCGCGGCAAGCCCACGTCAACAAAGAACCTCCTCATCCTCCTCCTCCTCCTCCTCCTCCTCCTCCTCCTCCTCCTCCTCCTCCTCCGCCTCCGCCTCCGCCTCCGCCTCCTCCTCCTCGGGCCTACTTGGGTGGCCCCGAGTCAGTCACAGCCGTTGCAGGCGCGGCAAACCTACATAAACAAATCACCTCTGCTCCCGTCAACCTCTATTCCCGTCCTCCCCCCTCCATTCCCCTCTTCCTCCCCCGACGCACTTGCTTATGACACTTCGCGCGATGGCCGTGGCCAGCACGCCTCACTGCACCGTCACACTGCCTCCACGAGGCACCCCGGGGGAGGTGCGAGCTGGGCTGCCCGCCCCTGTCGATGAACCGGCGGTGGCGTCCATGCGCTTATGTGGCCTGGCCGTTGCAGGCGAGGCAACCATAACCGAGCAATGCGCGAGGTCACTGGAGCAAGCGCACCAGAGGATTTATTTCCCCAGGGCGCGCCGCACACCAAAGGATGTGTGAATCATGCGCGCACCCAAACGTGAAGCGGGAGGCCTGTTCAAGATGCAAACATACACCACCACCACCACCACCACCACCACCACCACCACCACCACCACCACCACCGCTACCACCACCACCACCGCTGCCACCACCACCACCACCACCACCACCACCACCACCACCACCACCGTCGCACCATTGCGGAATCCGTATCAGTCCGCTGCGTCTTGCATTATGATGCAGTTTCTCCCGACTGGCGTCGAAGAGTTCTGTGTCCGTCGGGGCGGAGATTCGGGCGGTTGTTCTGAGCCAGCGTCACCTACCTGCTCTTGGCGCCACCCGGGGCAGTAATTACCCGCGGCGCGCACAGGGGGGTAGAGGGAGGCGGGAAAGGCTCCTTAGAAGGCGGCTGCCTGTGAGAAGGCGCTGGCCGCCCCTCTGAGAAGCCATGGGCGCGCCGCTTCTTAGAAGCACCCCAGCAGCTTCCTGGAAGCACGTAAGTGCCTCTCAGGAGCGAAAGCAGCTTCTCAGAAGCAAGCCACCTGCTTCCGATAAGCACGCCAGGAGCAGCCTCTAAGAAGCTAGAGCAAGCTTCTTAGAAGGGGCACCCGCGCCTTCTCAAAGGCAGGGTGCTTCTGAGAAGCCTTCCCCCCTCCCCCCTGCCCCCGTCTGCGCATTGCTGAACTTGCCACGGGTGACGGTCCCGCCCCCCCCCTCCCTCGCATGGGGAGGGCGGCCGGAACCGCCAGCCCGCATCGTTGGACAAGACTTCTCCTTCTCCCTCCCTCCAACCTCCTTCCCTGCCTCCCTCCTGCCTCCTCCCTTTCCCCTCCTCCACCCTCCTCCCTCCTCCCTGCTCCCACCTCCCACCTCCCTCTTCCCTCCTGCCGCCTCCCTCCTCCCTCCTCCATGCCCCTCCCTCCTCCCACCTGCCTCCTCCCTCCTCACTCCTCCCTCCTCCTCTCCTTCCTCCTCCTCCCTCCCCTGCCCCTCGCTCCTCCTCCCTCCTCCTCCCTCCTCTCCTCCAGTCTCTCCTCCTCCTCCTCCTCCTCCTCCTCCTCCTCCTGGCGCAGGGCTCGAGCCGAGGCGGCCGCGGCCGAGGCGCGCGTCTCTCCCTCCCGACCGCCCCCTCCCGTCCGCTCCCCCCTGGGGGGCGCGGGGCTCGGAGCCGAGGCGGCGGCCGCGTCGGGGGCCCCCGGGGGTCCCCGCGGCGCGGGGAGGGCGGGCCGCGAGAAGTCCGGAGGAGGAGGAGGAGGAGGAGGAGGAGGAGGAGGAGGCGCGAGGAAGGCGGGCCCCTGGGCCCCCGCTGCGCGAGGAAGGCTGGCCCCGGGGAGCTCCGGCGGCTCGAGGCAGCCGCGCCGCGCTCGAGGTCGTCGGAGGGCCTCGGAGGCGTCGCGGGGGCCGCCGGGGGGCTCTCGGAGGGCTGCCAGGTGGAGGGGCAGCCAGCGAGCCGTGGGGAAGGAAGGGTAAGGAGGAGCAGGAGAGAGAGAGCGGGAGGAGGAGGAGGAGGAGGAGGAGGAGGAGGAGGAGGAGGAGGAGGAGGAGGATCCATCCCCCGCACTCGCCCGCGTGCGCCCGCGTGCCTAGCGGGCCGGCCCCAGCCCCCAACCGCGGCGGCGGTCAGGGGGCGCTGCCATGGCATCAGGGGGCTGTCCGACGTCAGGGCGGCCCTATATCCACAACATACGAGCCTACGTAACAGA